GGGCACAATGGTTGTCCAAGGAATGAACATGATGAATGAAAGAGTCAAACGATGGCCCCGAAGCCGGTAACGTCCAAGGATCCATCCGCGTGGTCGTTTTGCTTTCTCTCTCTCTTTCTACCCCTTCCCTATCCCCTCACCCCTTTGCTCGCCCTCTTTGACGCAGTCGCAGCTTTGATATTCCTGCCAGAATATCCCACTTATAGTTAGTGCATAAGCCTCCGTTTCTCTAGTCGTGTTCCCTCTTTATCCATCGTTCTAACAGCTTTTCTGTCCCCCCGTGTGCTCTCTCTCTCTCTTTCTCTCTCTTTCTCTCTCTCGCACCCTCTTTCTTCGAATCTCGCAACTATCCCCGTCACGCGTTTCCAGCTTTTCCTTCCTCCTCTCCTCACCGGCTCGGAGACATTCTAACACACGTGGCCACGGTTTTCTCGACGTTTCTCACCGACTCTTTGTCCCGTCGCGTCGTCTACGTGGATGACGTTCAACTGCATGAAACGTTCCTTCGCGTGGATAAAGCTGCACACGCCTCTATCTATCCGCCTTTAAAACGAAACGCGGGTCAAGGATCGTCGATTAAAGGATTCGTTCGCGAGAAGAGCGTGTCGTTTACACGCTGACGTGAATCCTCGCGGTTTTCCTCCGCTTCCTCGTCGTGCCGTTACGCGATCCTTGGATACCACGAACACCCGAGGGACCCTGGTAATTACGCCGATAAGAATCTCGCATAATTTACGTGGTTCGAATAACTTTTCAGCGTCGCGGTTTATTCTCCTTTTCTTCTTTCCGTGGCAAAGATTGTGAAAGAGAGAAAGGGAGAGAGAGAGAGAGAGAGAGAGAAAGAGAGCGATAAGGTTCGATCTATGATTCGACGAAGAGAGGGAGAAGGGATGGGGGGTGAAAAAAAGTTGAAGGCTTGATACTTTCGACGAAACATGAAATAGGGAAAAGGAAAGGAAAAGGGTGACGTGTAAAATTGGTCTGGACGAACGATCGACAGGAATTTCCAGGGGTCCCGAAACGATGGAGGTCTCCTCGATCGTGGAACACGCCCACTTTTTCGCTGTTCCAATTAGTCCAGAACCCTTGCGCACGTTTTATTTGGTAGTTGATTGGTGTGGCGGGAACAGTAGTGGGAATTAATGAAGACGGTTTAGGGGTAGGACATTGCAGTTATTGGCCCTCGAATAATTCCGCCAACGTTGGCGGATTTTACAGACATTTAGTCGACTATGCAATTAACACCAGTGATACGATCGATTAGACTGGCAATATGGCAGATACGTTTATTATATGATCGATACGGAAATTATGGAAATGAAAAATGGTTAAAATAAATACGTTCTAAGAGATACAGAAATTATAAATAATAAAAATAATACAATGTAACAAATTTTGTTGAAATAAATAATTACTGAAATAACTTATAACGTCGTTTAAAATCTTATCTTGCACTAGACTTATCTTTCTTAAGACGTTCAAATTAGTATCGTAAAATGTTTAAACTTAAAATTGACGTTAAATGGATATCTTTAACGCGTCGTGTGCTATTTGAGTAAATTTATCAATTAACGAAAGCAGTAGAAGTAAAAGCGTATTAACACTCGAGAAAGAATACGAAGGGAAGAGGAACGATGACTCGATAATTCGATGATTCGATGGTTAAACAGTGTTATCGCGTGTATCTCGATTATAAGGAAAACTCGTGTCTCTGTATAAACGTCTGCGTCTGATATTCGCAGACGCGCAAGTTTTTTAAGTTCGAAGGGGTCACTCGAGGATTCCCCATACATATTCATGGCGAATATTTACTTAAGGCCAGAAAAGAACTGTTAAGAACGAAAGCAACGTATCGCATTAATACGAGGGTCCTCGGAGATCCTACGAATACGTAGGTATATGCAAATGACACCATTCCCGCCGGGGAAACCTTTAAATCACACATCGAGGCTACCAATAACACGTCGACGATCATAATACAAGACAGCCTTTATGCTCGGTGTAGCAGCAAGAGTAGCAAAACGTTCGTCCTCGAGTTTAAAAGGATCGCGTTTTAAGTACCGTAACATGCAATAACAGCCTTTCATCGGATATAATTCGAGTCAGGATTAAAATAACAAATAGAAGAGAGAGCGACGCGTGTTGCGCTAGCGTAATCAACGTATATTGTTAACCGTGTACCGACAAGTTTTCATAGGAACGAAGTCTGTTAATCGTTCCCAGAGAACCAGATTCTCGCGTACATTAACATGCCATTGATATCTCGTCGATTCTAAACGGACGAGCAGTTTCGTACTTCTTCGCGACATCGTACCGACCGTCATTTCGAATTTACATCTTATTATACCGAGATAGAAATAGGAGAAAAGGAAAAAAAAAAAATACATAAGATACAAGATTCACGGAAGAGAGAGAGAAGAAAAAGAGAGAGAAAAAAACTTACAAAATTATACAATCATCAACGATGAAGGAGATACGCGAACAAATTACCGTGACGGGATTTCAAAGATCTCGGTTATTCAAATTTCTTCTCTTCCCACCGTGTTTTCCCTTATCTCCGCCCGTTCACCGGAACGTTCAACGAAAACGCGAAATAAACGCAGACACACGAAGCGAATCCTTTTCCCTTCAAAACGTATGTCCCGGCAAATTTATACATCACAATTCACCGCGCATTGCGGCCATTAACGCGTCGACGAGCAGGCAACACGACGGGCATTGCAAGCCATCAACCTCCATGAGGAAACCGAGAATGCCCGGTCCAAAGTACCAAAAGGAGCCACGCCGTGCTTTTATCGCGAGTAATTCGGGCCACGATCGTACGTATACGGTGTCTAATAAATTCGTGAATGGCCGGCCAGCGACTGAAATGTCGCTACACACCCACGCCTAACGCACACGAAGTATGCCTGTACGCGCGTTACGAAGGGCTCCCTCTTCTTTCCTCTCTCCATGGCCTTTCGACATCGTGGCTGTGTGCGCGCGTGCCCCGGACTCGAGGTTGTTGGCGTTCGTTGCGCGCTTAGGGTGGGTACCGACGAACCGACATGGGGGCACCGAGAGAGCGGATATTATCGCCAAACGTTAATTTGGTCGAGGCCCGGCCTACCTTCCAATTTTCGAGCCCTTACACGCCCACTTACGAGATTGTCCGTTAATGCTCCGAAACGTCGGGACGCGTTTTCGACGCCCGCGTTTTACCGCCACGGAGAAGAGGTTCGCGTACTTCACCGTACAGCCGACGGCTACGGTGTATGTAAGTATGTATCGTGGACGAGCGTCTCTCTAGAACCCCCTCGGCGAAAGAAGGTTTGTACGAGGCACACGTGTGCATACGTTGAAAGAGCACGCGTGAGTATATGTGCGAGAGTAAATAGAGTCGATTGGGCAAGCCGTCGTGCCTTGGAAGGATAGCAGATCTTCAGGTGTTAGAGATTTCTAGACGTTGGAGACACAGTAGACTACTGGGAACTCGAATACAGTTCTTTTTTGTTGAATTTTTAAAGGTAAAATTTCAAGCGCCAACTTCTATAAACGGCAGACAGTTGAGAGGGAGTCTTGTAATTGGAATTGCAACATCTAGAGGAGGCGTGTCAAAAAATTGTGAAGAAAAACCAAGGTTTTTTTCCTCGTGATGGGGGAAAAAATTCCATAAACGCGAGATATAGATAATGATATCTCATCGATATCGCGCGTATGCGTGCAAACGTCTCGATAACGCGCAGAAAATATAATCGAGTGTTGGCCGAGCAAGGGCACTTACATGACGAAGGGTATTCGCGATAAAATTAAATGGAACGTTGCGAAAAGGAACGACACGCCCGATTGGCCGCTAAGAAAACAGGGAAAACCGTATTTCAACTGTGCCTTAACATTCCCCCGTGCGCATCACACTCGCCCGCGCCTAATTTATGTAACACAGAACAAATATACTCGTGGCCGCGCGTACGTGCAACGTGGTCGCATCAAAGAAAATAAATACGGGACGAAACAAGTGGAGCGACCGCGAGAAGCAAGAAAATAGTTCGCGCAGCGGTTCGTAGACCCGAAATAGGGCGGTGTGAACAGCAGGAAACTTTACTGTATACCGTGAAACGTGGAGTAGGAGAGAACGTGTGTATTGGCGTGTGTGAGCGCTGTTGGAAAGAACCGGTTATATAGAAACCGTCCTCCACCTTCTCCACCTTCTTCTTCTCCTTCTCCTCCTCCTTCTTCTTCTTCTTCTCCTCCTCCTCCTCTACTTCTTCCTTCTCCTCTTTACCTTACCTTCCCTTCCACTCTTTCGCCGACCTTTCGTTCCATCCTCGCCAAGTATCCAGCGAGCCCCGCTACATAATACAGCCTATACATATATACAAACCCGATTGTATGCGTGCCTCCGTGTACATAGGTGCAGAGGCTGTATGTACACTTACGTGGGGTCCCGACACCATGGGCGCCTGCCTATCTGACATTGGGTGCCTACGAGGGCGAGCCTCGTGTCGTTTCTTTTTCTCCCTTTCCTGACCTGGCTACCGACGGATCCGGAGGAAGAACCGTGCACTCCTTCCTCCCGAGAACCCTTCGAAGGCGTTGGAATTTCGCAAACGTATTCACGAGGATAACCTCGTTTCCGATACGCGCAAACTCTCGAAACTATCGCGCGGATATCCCGCGGCGAAAGAAACAACAAAACGTTGAGTGACTGTTAACGTATTTAATCGTACCGTATGATATTCGATGATTAATTTTTTATCCGATACGTTTTGAACGTTGGACGCCCGGAGATGGAGGCGTTGGAAATATAAATGATTCTTTTGGCTATTGTTAGAACTTGGTTCGATCTTTCTCCCCTCCGTGTTGGATACGTATGTATGTGTGTGTACGAGTACACGTACATCCTGTGGCCCCGCTATTTAGACTTAGGTTTAATTTTTAATACACGAGCCTCGTGTATTACATTCAAAAGGGTTGCATTGAATATTATTCTTTATTCACGATCATCTGTTTTTCTGTTACAGATTTCGAATAGACAACACGGACCATATAATAGACGTGAACAAGAACAACGCGGCGTTCGAGTACGATCAAGTGAACATAATATGTCCTGTGTACCAGCCAGGAACGTATGACGAGGACGCGGAGAAGTATATTATTTACAATGTAAGTTCCAGTACTTTGTATTGTATCGTAATGCGAAGAATCTCGACGTTGGTTAAAAAAAAAAAGATTCGGTCACGAGTCCGAGCCTGTGTATCCTGGTCCGCCATAGTGGGATCAACAGATAAATCGAGTTACACGACTGTTGACCCATTATGCGAAATAAAAAATTGTCAAAGGGTGTTCCGTGTTGTTTAGACAGCTGTTACTACTCGAAACTCGTTCGTTAACTCGCTCGTATCAGACCCCCAGAACGACTTCCGCTTCGTAGCCAACTTTTGACGCCGTGTCGCCCTTCGAGGGGATGTCGGAACGTTGTTTCACCCGCTCTTTAAAAATATTCATGACGAATTACCGCGTAGCAATCATTCCTTAATTAGGAAAACTCGTAACGATGTTTGTACGCGGGACAAAAATCACCACGTTTCATAAATCAAATCGTTTCCAGGGAAACTTTTATCCCTCCCTCTTTCGCTTTTATCTGAGATTTCTACGCCTAAAGCAGCGACGCAAGCACCACGAATCATCGTCGGGATCTAATCACCGTCTCGATATCCTTCCCTCCTCGCATTGTCTCGATAGCGTTCGAACCCAACAACAGATATTTTCTCCCTCTTAACTGTATATCGAGGGGGCCGAGAAACACGAATCAGCTCTTTCTAACAGCTATGCGTTACGGAGAACGGGAAAGAATTCTGAAAGTCGTCAAACAACGAATCCTCCACAAGAAAATCTTTCTCTCTAGAATCTTCTACAAAGAATTGTCGTTTGTATAGAACCCAATAAAACTACAAAAAAAAAAAAA